GGACTGCGGTGTTCCACAAGGGTCAGTATTGGGGCCGCGCTTAGTCATGTTCCTCATTAATGACCTCGCGTGTGCCATCGAGTCAAATTTCCTGCTTCTTGCCGATAACATCAAGACATGGTGGGTGATGGGCTGCCAGGACAATCACGATGCGCTGCAAAGAGACTTAGACCGCGTTTTTGCATTGTCAAAGCAAGTCTACTTGCGTTTAACGCAGACAACTGCAGAACTGTGCGTGTCCGCCACGAGCTCACTAACGCAGATAAACTTGGCGACCACATGTTGAATACCATCTTACAGGAGCGCGACCTTGAAATGGTGATGGAAGACGATCTCGGTTGTTCGGCGCGGTCACTGAGGGCGTCCAACAGTGCAAACCAACATGTTTGTCTGGTACCGAGGGCGTTCGGGAGGTTCAACCCCTCCATCTTCCCCCAAATGCTCAAGGTGTATGTGAGGCCCCATGTAGAGTACGCGTGGCAACTCCGGTTAAAACGCGATCTGGCTGCACTGGACACCACATAGCGAAGGGCAAGGAAAAAGTTGAAGGGATTGTTCCGCCTGCCATACGATAAGCGACTGAAAGCCCTGGGAGTGTATTGCGGAAGACATCGGGAGTGACCTCATCCTGGCGTTCCAGGTCTTGAGAAACCCAGGCCACGCTTGCCACCACCTCCTGACAATCAGCCGCAACACAGAGGTGAGAGGTCATAAGCTGGAACTTACCACCCAATACAGTCGACTGGAATGCCGCCGGAATTATTTTTCCCTTTGCTTTTGTCAATCGTGGAACGATCTTTTGACTTTTGTCAATTCCGCGCCCACGCTACCCATTTTCAAAAAACGACTCGATGATGCTTTACACCAACTACATTACTTGAGCTGATTTCTATGCATTGAGTGATGACAAGACGCAGACAAACACTGTGCTCATCAACTACCACGAAATCGAGGTAGACGGATATACTTTTGTGCTAACGCGGATAATATGGTGAGTCCAATGTTGTTTGACTTTTCTTTTGAACTGACGCTATTCCAACCAAGAATCTCACCGGAATTGTCAAGCCATGGCTTTTTTGTATCCGTATTATTCCATTGTTCCATAAGTCTGCTTTCCTCAGTAGCCAATTAGAATTGTCTCACTTCGGATTTGGTCACGTTGAGGAATATAGATATATTCCAACGTGGAATTCTCACAATATTTTGCAAGAAAAAATGTGGTTATAATTGTTCGATCCGGTTCAAACTGAAGCAACAAGTCCTCACAAACAGTAACAAGATGCGATAAATAGCAAGTTTGCTCCTATGCGATGCCGACGCCATTCTCGCATGCCGTTTCCCATGGCTGAGATATCCATAGCATGGATATTACTTGATTTAAACTATAAACTCATGTAGTTTACCGCACTTGATGCTTTGGGGTAATTTTTTCCAAAGCTTGGAGTAGACAGTGAGAAGTATTCCATTATTCATATTCACCTCCTTGGAACTCACGTAGGGAATATATGCTATTTTGCGTCATACACAAGTTTACTCCTTTAGCGGGAGCAGATAGAGTTGCTGGGAAGCTTTTGTTTTGTACAGTAAAAAACGATATCGTTGACGCTGCTAGCTAGGGGGAACGGAAACAGCACAGCACACTGGACGGTTGCACGTTGCAACCGAGACAGCGTTCAAGCAAAGGCGGTGCAGGACTCAAGCAATCGAGCTTACCAACCAGTTCAGCAATCCGCACCGGTCGCCTAAGTGTACAGTGAAATAATAATTTTAGTTAGCATCTACATAAGCAAATCGGGGTATCTCCGGACTGCTACACTCTTGCGGTGTGAACATAATTATGTATGGTTATGAACAGAAAACACAAGTTTAATATCATTCTTCGCAGCCAAATGGGTTGCAGTCGAAGACTACAGATCGATTAAGAACAAGTGCACTGTGTTGAGGCGCGTGCAGACAATGTTTGATGTATGTATAAATGACCAATGTGTGACGAAAATGATGAAGCAGTGGTTGTCTGCAACCATCGGTGTCTGGTGAGATCCCTGAGAGAATAATACTAAGCTAGGGTTTCACAACAAGCCCTCCGGTACTGGTCTCGATTAAATCTCATGATAAACTGTCTGCGTTGGCTGAGTCACGTTCGTTTGAAACATGTCGATAGCTTAACTTGCGCGCATCTAACGTTTACACGGTGTAGGGCGTTGCCCAGAAGTATCCAACTGGCGATGTATCGAAAATACATGAAGAAAGAACAGTAAAAACGCGGTTGTTACGTGCTGTCTTTCTGGATGAGCCACATCAGTGATTAGATGTGAGATACGTCACAATTACGAAGTCAATGACACAGTTACTGCTAAGTGGCCAGAAACAGCGAATACCTGAGCACGACACTACGTGGTTAGGCAGACGGCACAGAAGGGTCTGCAATGGGTCGGGAGAGAATCTTAGGAAACCCTGCATTCATGGGCGGGCTTACTACTGGAAATGCGAGAAACTGATCACAGCGACGACACGAATAACTGCTGAAATCCGGTACGCAGACAGTGCGGGCGGACTGGCGTGTGTATGGACACGAGCTGATGATCACATATGGCAAACCGTAGCAAATCAACTGGACAGCACACGTTCACAAGGGATGAAAGCGTCATAAACACGCTCACAACTGTGTATATATTAACGCACAAGACTTTCTCCGCAAATTGACAGAGCTTCGATCTCGTCAAACTTCAAGGTGTTTGGATCTCATCAAGGCAACCGAGACATGGCTGAACGACGTGATTATCGAGACCGAAATCAAACTACCTGATATGTCACCGTTGCGTAACGACCGACCAACTAAGAGAGGCGGTGTGATTCGTTACTATCGCTTCGACGTACACGTCGAGTGCGTTAAACACTGCGAGATTCAAGCTGTAGACTCGTCATGGTACCGCCTACACTTAAGGCAAGGCGGTGTATGTTGATAAGACAGTGTAAACCGCTCTCCCCCAACGTCCAATTTAGAAATGGACCAGGTATGAAGGATCTATTAGCTGTTTGACTGTTCAGAAGTGATGAATTTCTACCTACACCATTCAACTCTCCCTACCAATCCTTTGTAATTTAAAGGTAAGGCGTGTTATGACTATAATGGAGGACCACACAGCACTGCAAAATGATCTGGATAAACCATACACATGGTCCACCATGAACATGCTCCGATTCAGCACCACCAACTACAAAGTTCTGGGCGTACCTCATCAGCGCATTCACGACCACCGGCTAAGAACACAAATTCTATGGTGCGCACCCCCATAAGAAAGAGCGCGGTGTGCTCGCGTAAGATAACCTGGGTTGTTTGAAGCAGACCAAAGAAACATCGATAAAACAAACGAACACTGTAGTCTTTTGCGAAACAGTTCGACGTCCCAATTTGTTCTCAAATACTTGGCGCGTACCTGAGGTCACAAGTGGAATAGGGTAATAAAAGCAGGGCAGACCTGACAGAAGCGCCATCTCACCACGCACATATCGCCCAAATAGGGATGGCAAGGTATGCTAAAAGTTTGTCCCGCCTCCATACCGATTCCGGCTGAAAACTATAGGAATGCACAGCGGATGTTGTGGGTGTCCACGGGGCGATCTCACACTTTGCATCACCATTTGAAACTCAGCCAAAACGCCTCTCCGAGGATCATCAGTTTAGGCTGGCCGTGAAGTGAAGCCGACTCGAAAGTCGAGGACACGTTTTCTCCATTCGCGTGTAACAAACTGGAACCCCATTCCAGTGCATGCAATTAATCTCCCTGCCTTATCAAAATTCCAAAATAACGACGACCAGACATTAATGCATTTACAATACGTGATATAGCATGCGAAAATCAGATGATGGCGTTATTTCAAAACAAATAGTGTACAGTATCGGACTCTCCTTAGACTCTAGATGGGAATATCAACATCTGTGCTACAGCAAGCCTCTTGGTGAGTCATGTATCTTGCATATTATTCCACCGACACTGTTTTCACTTTGTAATTTTGCATCCTAAACTTTTCACTCCTTATGAAGCATTGCTCCATATTGGAACGAATGTTCGACCTGTAGATACAGCCGTTATTCAACGCAGAAGATACACCCTCTGTCGAGTCCTGACTTTTGATTTGTCGTTGGATCGGAGCGCCAGTTAAAGGGAACGGAAGGTTAGCAGCATAACATTTACATACCAATCTAGAGATCACACTCCTTGCAGTTCCGTCCTCCTTCGATAACACTTCTTAAGCTCTTTGTGTTCCCCGCTTACCCATGACAACGTGAATCATGATAAGCCAATCCCAAGTTGCAAAATTAGTCGTAGCTCTGGGGACCAGTGCTGTCCTCTGTACACGTATAATATGCAACACAGTGGAGGATAAGTCGAACTATATCGCCGTCATAGCGGTCGCTGATTCACCAGAGTAAGGTCATTGATTCGGATCCGGCAGATGCGCGCTGCTCACGAGACGAAACGGACTTCTAGCGCTTCCACGTATATGTGGTGACTGGGGTCGAGTCCAACTGTGAAAGTCTGCACCCAAATATAATAAATCCCTTACTACTCTATAACAAGCTGGTCCATTGCGTTTCGATGTTTGGACCACAGTAGACGAAGTGAACCAATACATTCTTGACGAAGTCGCCTTAGTGCCATTGATGTTGATGGTCACGTAAACTGAGAAGGCAATGCTAACGGTCATGAAAGCGACAACTGCCTAGAGTGGAGTGGCTTAAGCACAACAATGACCCACAAGCCGGAATGGCAGTCAGCTGCACCTACTGGAAAAATGGTGAATTCACTAGTGCAATGAAGAGGTTATTTCAGGTCACGGCATTGCTGATCGACCCGGTGGTGGCTTGGTCTCCGTCACTCGGAAACCGCACAGATTGACCGGAGTGGAGCGTTAGCTGTGGTGTGGATACAAGAACACGGAGTGACTTTGAAACCCACCAACAAGACCAAGTAGGTGAGAAGGCTGAACACCAAACGTTAAACTGAATAAGAAATCTATGTAACATTGCACCAATATACAAAAATAACAACACATGCGCGAGTGGAAATTCAAACAGTTGGTTCCGACTGGGAGATTTTGCACAGACGAGCGAGCAATCCGGCCAGTTGGAGATGAGTCGACAGCCCTTCGGCTATCCGTAGATGAACCAGACCGACCTCCTGTGGGAGCGGAATAGACCAAGTGGAATGGAACAGTGTCGGCCAAGTGCATGCCGAAATACCGGTGTTCAAAGCGACAACAAGTACGTGCTATGCGAAAGACGTGTGTGTGGGTGTGAATCAAATTGGCGAGACGACGCGAGTACACAGAATAAAAGGTGGCTGATGCGTGCAAACCTAAGGTCGCTATGGTGATGGAAACGACCGAGTAGTTTCGCACCACCACTAGGGTAGAGGCATAACAACCATTTGTCGCTTGCGTCGAAAGTATCAGTTGCACACAATGCAAATTGGTGACTGTGAAGGACTGAAATTCCATTCGATTCGGAACTGTGCACACACCAACAACGTCGAATAAGGAGAGCGCGCCTGGTGGATCGAAAAGCGTCAAGATGCGGGTGTGTGAACCCATGCTAGATGTTAAGCGCCCACAAGTCTGCCCTTTATGACCGGTTCCGCGTCTGCCTGAGATCACAAGTTAGGAATAACCGAAACGAGGGATGAACTTGGGAATGTAGAGGGATTACCGGTGGATGCCTCAGCCTTATACCAATAAAATTTATGGACAAAATCTGTTACAATGATTAGGCACTTACAGTGCGAGTTAATTCGGAATACCTCGCATGTGTGGGCAGATTGCGATGCCAATCCAACGCAATTCACTTTGATCACTCGGAGGGCATGTGAGACAGATACATCAGATTCGTTAGAAAACGCTGCACTACATGAACGGCTTCGAACTTGCTTGATCGCATCAGGTGTAGATAGCAGGCATGTAACCAGAGACCCTTGGAATATCAACCGAAACGCCATCTACCCATAAGACACCGAGTCGCGATGGGCGACGCCTGTCGCAACGATTAATGATTAAGCGGACGTCACTTCGAGGTACTCACTGCGTGAATACATTGTGACTCGAAAACGCCTAACAGTACATCTGTTTCGGATGCGGTCCTCCAAGTGACCGAATTTCCTGCCAATGTGAATCGCCATCTGGACAGAGATAGTGGCGTTTGCAATCCCCATTCCCACAACGACTGCTTCAAACTGATTCTTTACTTGGTCATTCTAATCGTTGTGACAAGCATCGTCCGCGGCTAAATAGCTAAAGCATGTAGACGACGCTTCGGGGCCGTTATCCCGATGTCTCGCGTTCATGTCGCAGTTCTGCTATCTCCAACTGATGAGTGTGCAGTCGAACGCGTGAGCAAACGGAACCTAGCATTAAGCTGCTTTACACGTGGTCCCGGCGACCGAACTGACTGAGGTCCCTTTCTAAGAGAATCGGACTTCATTCATCTCACACAGAGACGGCTTTAGACAAAACCAACCTGGAGGCGAACCACTCTCCTCTACATGACCTCTACCCGCATGACAACAATGGATGAGTAGGGCTATATCGTGGTGAGATTTCGATCAATGATTATCAGCTATCGCCCCCATGGCTCAGTTGCATATGTTGCCGGCTAGTGGTGCAAGTCACTGGTGATCACGGGTTCGATCTCCAGCAGGAGGGCCGAAGGAATGAGAACCAGTAACGAATCACAATAAGGGGAAACGATTGTCTGGCGGTTTTCCGGACAGATAGTTCGCCTATCTGGCTCGTAAACTAGTTACGATGAAATACATAAAACCGACAATACGAAGCACTCAGTTTAACCACTCCACTCTCGCGTCTCTGTGCGAATATACCGACAATCGATAAGAACGAAACAAAGTGAGGATCGAAAGAAATAATGAAGGATAATGGTTAGAACTAGCAAGGGAGAGACCGACATGGAGAAGCGGTGTTGTTGCGCAGCCTCTATCATGATGCTGGAGGCCCCCCGGACAATCACTCAGGGAGATAAGATGCAACAGCAATCCAACCTGATACTTCTGGCACATCGTTCAGATCACTTCGCTTTCATCAGAAGTGTACATCTGGGGCTTTTCGCAATAGAAAAAGTATGCAGATAACGTGAAGAGCAAAGCCCAAAGTAAAGAATTGAAGAATTGCGCGCTCGTAAAATACGACTAAGTAATCAGAAACAACACTGGTTGAAGACGAGATCAATTGATGCGACCGCAGAGAAATGTCTGTCTCTGATAACTGCAAAAACATCGGACGCGTCGCAGCCCTATCTCTCCTTTGTCTGATAAGCTGATATCGCGCCATCTTCAAATTTCCTTAAGAATTTGGAAAGTAAAATCGCTGATAAGAGCAGCAACTTTTTTATGGCTTGAGTACCACGATTGAGTACAAGCACCGAGATAAGCAAACCGATCGACCACTTCGGATGGTTGTTCGGTGATCCCGAGGTCTGGCGATCTGTCGGCCTGATTCCACATTAATGCTCGCTCCTTGGAGATGTAAACCGCATGACTAAACGTGAAGCGCTCTTCAGCACAACATAAGGATTGCATTAGACTGCACGAGATATGCGCCGTATAACAGCCCCAAGTCTATTAGCAGTTTATCAACTCAATGAGACACCCGTACACGACCATTTCTAGCAAAGACGTGCAGTGGGACGGAACCGTGAGACAGCTTTAGCACACCACACTGGTGGTAGGAGCTTCCGGAGAGAGTTTCTCGTGGTCAATTATACGGTCCGAACCGCATGGAAGTTATTGGAGCAGTAGACAGACACGATGGACCGGATCAATGACTAGTGTGGCGAGCCCTGTGCATGTGCTACCGCTCGAGCAGTAAGTAAAATACAGAGTGCTCATGTTGAAACAACTCGCATGAAGGCTAGGAAGTCGACGGAGTACGAGTCTTGTGACTAGCGTGAAGGCAGAGATGAACAGTACAACGTTTCAAGATTTCAAGTAACGTCAGTTGACCTTTTTAAGAGACGACAACAGACAAATGCTGGTTGAAAGGTAGTTCCACTGGGCACTGTACAGTGGCAAAGAGGAGTTAGGTCGCTGGCCATAGAACAGACACTGTCCCTCAGTAACGAAGAAGTTACCACGAATTGGGTAGACAGAGTGCCAATGAAAGGCGGATTTGTCGGTAGACCCACTCGGATAATCGTGGTATGCAGACTAGACTCCCTAATTGGAGCGCGAGTTATGTATGTACATAAATACTGCTGCATGCCTTGAGATCAGTTCAGTAGGTTTCGGCAAGTGCCTAGGTCATCAGAGTTGGATATCAATGAGGCTAATGATTTCATCGCAACTAGCCGGCCCGTGGCTGATTGGAGAAGACGTTTGCCTTGCAACGCGGAGGTCGCGGGTTCGGGCTTGCGTAGGGGACTGGGCAGCATCACAGTATCCTAAGCCCTCCCGCGTTTGGCGCAGGTTGCGTGCCAGCGAGGCGTCAGTACAGCGTACAGACAAAGTGCTGAGGTATTCCTTTCCTTTTTATCGGAAATACTCATTTGGTCCTCGAATACCTTAACCAATTGCGGAGGCGGAGATACATTGGAATATGAGATCTCCCGACTTCTACGTGATTCCGGTCGAAAACGATTTCGTTGTGGGAAAGCCTCTACAATAGAGAGGACTAGAAGACAACTGCTCTGAAAAAGCGTGCTGCGGAGCATCTACCGTGATGATGCTAGTAGTAGGAATAGTATTGAATATGTATAGTTATGAGTAACTTTGGGATGCTAAACATTTACTTAGTCAATTGTGTTCAGAACACTTCAAATTCATCCTTAGGAAAATCATGTTCATCTATAAATCTCCGAAAACGGTTCTTTACGCTAAAATTTGGATCCAACGGGCGCGAAAGTCCCCCAAATGCCACTGCTCATCGAGTGACAAATCCCAACTCCGGCAATAGTATCTCACCCTGAATATTCACCTGTTTTACTATCGGTTATGTTGGGATTAAACGTTCAGCGTACATTAGTCAATTGTAGAAGCGTTTGTGCCCGTTGTATGCAAATTGATAGCGTTAGGGACCACTTTGGGTGATCTATGAAGGAACATGATTTCTTCAAGTGGGAATTTGAAAGCGCTATGGATGTAAGTATATGAGAAACGGTATAGACACGAACTGAAGGCATACACTGAATACTACTGGTCTATTTCGTTTTCTCATTTAAATGATGTGAGTTACGGGGAACTTCTATGTTCTTTGGAGCAAGGTATATCAGTAAAGATCGCATCACCGAAGTGATGTGTATGGATTGGTAAGGAGCATGGCGCACTACGTCTTACTGTGACCAACGCCGGTGTAGACGAGAAACATCCACAGTACACTGCTAGGAAGTGACCTGACTTTGAGCATAAGTGTCGATCAGACTGCGTCCGGATAGTTGTGAGATCGACTCTTCAGAGTGGTCCCATCCGCTGATAGGCAATCCGCATTTTTAAGTAGGGAATGCTATTACAAGAGCACCAATCGCTTCGTTGTGCACTGACTCATAATTGTGAACAATAGGGGATATTAGATTAATTCAACTATATTGATAGATGAACAAGCAACGACAGCGCGAACAATCAAAAATCCTCCTACGCATCGGTCATCTAAGCATTCAGCCATGCAGTCTTCAAAGGCTGTGCGGACATGGCTAACGTGTACTGGAAGTCGTAGCCTCGGAGGCTAACCATTGTCTTCTGCAGTGGTAGGAACTCGTATAGCAGTGGAGGATAGGTTGCGATATATCCCGGTTGGCTCGAAAGTTTCGACGGTCCACCTCCGTCCCCCACTGGTCAGTGGTATAAGCTGCTGGCTAGTTGGCGTGAGCTGTCAGCAGTCATGGGTTCGATTCTCAGCATGGGAACGACAGGATTCGTACCACTGAAGAGCCCCAATGGGGCGAAACAATCGTCCAGTGCTTCTTCTGGATTTGTGTTAGACTAATCTGGCGTGTGAGCAGCTTGGATAACCGGTAAATTTTAATCAAAAATCTCCTTGCAATGAGACTGGACCTTAACGTGGTGTGATAGTTTCTGTGCCTCAGCGATCCATTGAGCTATGTTGTGTGGTGCATTTTTGCACCTTCAGAGCCACTCATACCAGATTAAGTCAATGGTTGGAGGCCAGACAAACTCAGTAC